TTAATGCTTCATGGGTGGGAAGAGGAGTGAAAATGGAAAAATAAGAACTCTGTTGGTGACAAGGGAGTTTCACCTCTCGGGGCTTGAAGATGGTTGAAAACCACGTGTAAGTTCTGCAGTGACTGGGAGTTCTGTGTCTCTTAAGGTTAATGCTGCAGTGCCAGCGCCGGGGGCAGAGACAGGGGAGCAGGGGGGTGTTAATAGAAGGGAAGGTCAGAAGCCTTTTGGCTGTCTCTGGCAGGAGGACCCCATTCAGTCAGACAAGCTTCCTGCTTGAGTTTTGTTCCTGTGGGAAGAATGTGTTTGTCCATCCCATCTTGCTGCTTTGCCACAGAGAAGAAATGCAGACAAGCAGCATCTGTACATTTGGGGGGGCATTTGGCATCTACAGGGCAAATTCCATTTAAATTGTTTCATTGAGAACCTCAGGCTTCCTTTGCTTCAGTTGAAAAAGAGCAGTGATTAAAGGTGCCATTCACCCATTTGTATGAGCTAAGTCTATGCTTCATCCTGGATTGCCCTTAGCAGTGGTGCTGTTCTTTCTAAAGGGAAATGTTATTTCTCTTGGCCTGAATTCTGGCCTTGGGAGGAGTGGATGGAGCAAGGGCAGTTCAAGCCATGATGTGACTGTCAGGAAAGCAGGAGCCCTGGGGAACATTCTTTTTTTCTCTTTCTTTTTTTTTTTTGGTGTCATTTTAGGAAACAGGCACGGACTGTTGGTCCCAAGCAGCACAACAGACCAGGAGCTGCAGCACATCCGCAATAGCCTGCCAGATTCCGTACGAATCCAACGAGTGGAGGAGCGTCTCTCAGCATTGGGCAATGTCACCACCTGCAATGACTATGTAGCTCTTGTTCACCCAGACCTTGACAGGGTAAATGCTTTTAAATTCGTAGTGGGTGCATGTGAAATGATTGCCAGGCTGCAGTTTGGGTTTGGAGCTGCTGAGGATTGCTGTGTGTAGCACGGGGATCAGAAGAACTGTGCTCACAGCTCAGCTGGTGTCACGGAGGAAGCTGTGTCATGTTTCCTTTCTTCTCCAGAGAGAGGTCTCAAAGTTGGACTTTGGACTTCTGACTTGGTTTGGGTTGATCTGCCTCTTATATTTATCTTTATTGGAGCACTGTGTGCAGTTCTGGTGTCCTCAGCACAAGAAGGACATGGAGCTGTTGGCAAGCCCAGAGGAGGGCCATGAGGATGGTCAGAGGCTGGAGCACCTCCCATATGAAGACAGGCTGAGAACTTTGGGTCTGTTCAGCCCCAAAGTGAACAGTGGAAGATAGCTTCCAGTATCTGGAGGGGGCCTACAAGGATGCAAGAGAGGGACTCTTCATCAGGGACTATAGTGATAGGACAAGGGGTGATGGGTTTAAACTTAAACAGGGGAGATTTAGGTTAGATATAAGAAACTTCTTTACTGTGAGGGTGCTGAGGCGCTGGCACAGTTGCCCAAAGAAGTGGTAAATGCCCGATCCTTGGTAGTATTCCAGGTTGGACAGGGTTTGGAGCAACCTGATCTAGTGTGAGGGGTCTGTTCGCATGGCAGGGGGTTGGAACTGGATGATCTTAAAGTCCTTTCCAACCCAAACCATTCTATGATTCTGTGATTTGTGGATGTGGACCCTGCCCCTAGCATAGTGTGTGCCCTCTTTTTCAGCATGCTGCAGTGAATGCCCTTTGTAGAAGGGGGAAGAAGGGGGATGTGGAAGCATGTTGTCAGGTGCAGTTTGCTTTGTGTACGTGAAATAGAATGAATAAAAGAGGTTGGGGGGGTGTGTGTGATGAAGAAAGCATAAAGAAGAGTTCAGTCAGGACTGCAGTGGTAGTTACAAGCTACTTCTGAGCTCCCTGGAATTGGTAATAGTTGAAAGAGGCTGTGGATGTGGTGGTGTGCAGGTTTACAGAGGGGTGGAAGGAAAATGGAAGGTTCTTGTATGAAAGGTTAAAGTAAGGACAGAGGAGTAAAAGCTGCTGCTACTTTATGTTTGAGAACTGATGTCTTCATAACATTAGAGAGAAGGGTATTGTGTGGCTACAGGTAGTGAAAGTCCTTACAGTGCTTTCAGTTTGTGCTAAAGGTGGTAAAGAAATGGGACTTGGTGTTCTAAGTGCAAAGTTAAAAAGAGGAGGAGGTGGGGGGAAAATAATGGTCTTTACAACATACTGTGTTTTAACTAAGTGTAAAAAGCAAGGGAAGATAGCCAGAGAGGGATGGATCAAAATAATTCCCAGTGAAATTGTGGAATGAAAGGAAGTTCTTACACAGAAGGACAAGACAACTTTGTCCCAGTGCTTGGGGAGGCTGAGTGTTTTGTAATGATTGGATTGGGAAGGATTGCGAAAGCGTGGGCAGGATGCCAGTTTGGGGAATAGCTTGACTTCAAATTCTACAATACCATTTTGCTGAAGACTTTGTCCTGTCTTTCTGTTTGCAGGAGACGGAGGAGATCTTGGCAGATGTACTGAAGGTTGAGGTTTTTAGACAAACGGTAGCAGATCAGGTGCTGGTAGGAAGTTACTGTGTTTTCAGTAACCAAGGAGGAATTGTGCATCCGAAAACTTCAATTGATGATCAGGATGAGCTGTCTTCATTGCTCCAGGTCCCACTCGTGGTAAGGAATTTTGGGTTTGTGTTTTCTCTTGCCATTCCCTTCCAGCCCAGTTCTCACTTGTAATGTTTCTACATCTTGTGGGCTCCCAGCTGTTGTTTGTCTGCAGAGCTGTTCCAAGTGGGAGATGAGGAGACAACTTCAACAGAGCAAGTCTTCTGAGACATTTTCTCTATCTTTTCTGAGTCTGAATAAACTGCTTAACACCTTTAGTTTGCTTCTGAAACAACACTCAGCTGGGATTATGCAGGTTGTGCTGATGGATTCATACAGAATGTGTGTGGTTCGGCCAAAGGAAGCGTTTAAAACATTAAGTAATAAAATCTTTTGCCTGCTCACTTGGATTTGTGAATTCCACAATTCCTGTGCCTTTATGCTTCCTTCTTGTTAGATTTTATTTCACTGTATGTCACACAATTTCCTCTCCAGAGATATGGAGAGGCTGTCCCTTTTTATCTGAAATCTTTCTCGCATTGTTTATGGCAGAAGCTTTAATCTTTCAGGAGCATGTTGAAGACTTGTAACAAGGATGTGTAAGGGAATGTGCCGCTGTCAACACGCCCTGGTAACACTTGTGCTTTGTTCTGCCAGGCTGGAACAGTGAATCGTGGCAGCGAGGTCATTGCAGCAGGGATGGTTGTCAATGACTGGTGTGCCTTCTGTGGGCTGGATACAACCAGCACCGAGCTCTCCGTCATTGAGAGTATCTTCAGGCTGAATGAAGCTCAGCCAAGTACCATTGCTACCAACATGAGAGATTCCTTGATTGACAGGTGAGCAAGACCCAGGTCTGTTTATAACCATGATCAAAACAGGCAAGATTTTACTATAAAACTAGCTGGTTTCATAACTGATTTATCTTCTTTTTTGCTTCTTTTTTATTGTTTTTATTTTATTGTTTTACTTCCTCTTCACATTCTTGGGGTTACTGCCAAGAGTTACCTCATTGCAGAAGGGTTTGTTTCCTTGTAGCTGCTGAGCTTGCTTAGTCCTGTATGGAAAGTGTAAAGGGGTTTATTGCAGTTGGAATACTGCTTGTGTGAATAATATCCATTCCAACTTCCAGATACCTCCTGGTATTTTCTAGCTTTTCAGACTATGACATGAATGGATTTTTTTAAAACAAATCTTGTTTTAAAAGTTAAAATGCCAGTGACTTTGCCTGACATCTTGACTTTTGATTGTTATAACCCATAATATTTGCTACAAATGCCTGCTACAATCATTTCTGGAGCCCGAAACACTGGAGTTAGTCTGCTGCTGCTTTGAATCTTTTTGATTTAAGGCTGCTGCCCTAATTATTATTTTTTTTTAAGCCTTTTTATCAAAGGCTTTATCCAAGTTACCTTTTAATGGAGGCAGGTTTTCTTATTTCCTTCCTGCAGTGGTGGTGATGTAGGACCTTCCCTGTTCATTAATGTGTGCAGATTCTTTGACAAGGTTTAGGCATATGTATAGATGAATGTTCTCTGCACGCTTCTTTTGGGCTTTCCTCTGATTACAACTCTTGGAAACATTGCTGTAGTGCTGGAGTGTGTTCTTGAACTACCTGGGCTATTGTAACATAGTGGCTGAGTTCTCAGTTATCATAAAAATGTGTGGGAATGGTTTATGGCATAAGGAAGGAATAAGGAATTCCTCGAATGAAGAATCCCTTGAGAGAGTTCTTTGCTGCCCCTTTGCTGCTGCATGAAGGCTGGATGTCTCTGAGTGTAACAGAGCCATAATTAAACTTGCTCTGAGCTTTTGATGACTACTTAGACCAGCCTGAATGTACATCTTGCCTTTGCCAGCTTGACAAGTCTGTTCTTGGGGCTGGCTGTGAGCAGCACTAGGTCTGCTTCCTTCTTTTGTGTTCTAGGAAGGGAAATTTGTACTGGGCCTTTGTAATTAGAGAACTGATTGTACTAGTGTTTTGAAATGTCTCTGGCACTTACCTAGTAAATCTCCTTTCTGTTTTCTCTTTCTAGCTTGACATGAGCAATGTCAGTTCCAACTTCCCAGAAAGCTCCTAAGGAGTGAAGTGTCGAGCTCCACTTTGGATTACAAACATCCAGGCCTTCTGATGTTGTTTCTGCAGGCCTGGCCCAAGGAAGAGGCTACAAACTCCATCTTTTGTAGTCTTTTGTAAACTAAGTGTTACTACAAAACCTGACAAATAACATGCATAAGTAATGAATAAGGAATGCTCTCTATCCCTTTGCTGGCATTTTCCAGTTCTTCAACTGTGCTTTCTCGTGTTGTGATGCTCACTGTGCCCTTCACATGAGCCCACTATATTTACTCCTGTGGCTCTTGGATACTGGTCACTAGAGATTGTTTTGCCTTTAAATAATCCCACATTAGTGTTGTGCTGCACAGCAGAGTATTTCAGCACACATACGGCACTGTCCTCTCTTTCCACACTCTTGCCAAAAAGCGGTAGTTTTGCTGTACATAGACTTAAAAGCCCCTTATATGTCCAGTGCCAAGAATACAGTAATTTATGTGCCACAAAATAGTCCAAAGTCATCCCCTGGTCTCTTGCTCTGACCTGCAGCTATTCCCACATGGCTGGTGATGTTGAAGAGATCAACTGGCACTAAAACTGGAGTTTCTCAGGGTCAGTCCAGGGGTTTCTAACAGCAGCAGTGTGTGAGTGCCTCTGGAACAGTGGTGGTACATGTGCTGCTGCTGAGGTACCTGCAAGAGAGCTCATACAAGCATGATAGCCAGTGGGCTCCAGTTTGTTCTACAGGAGTTAGCCACCTATGCTGGGAAACGTAGGAATCATCAAATCAAAACCACCCCATCTTGAGTTATCACAAGAGTATCTTGGCTCTCTCTCAAGAGTTATCTTGAGACAAAGGTTAAGTAACACGGCTCTGACCAGTTACACCATTCAGACAGATGTAGCAGATTTGGGAGCTTGCTGATGGAGAGCTCTGCCCTCGTAGGGGTGTGATGATGACAAAAAGGAGCTGTAAGTACTAGTTTCGGGTAGGAGATAGTCATTTGCTTCTAAACAGAGCTGTTGGTCACTCATGTCTCGGTTGCTTCTGCTTGGCTGTTAGAGGTGCACTGGAAGCACAGAAATACCACCATTTCCCATCGTGAGCGTATGGTTACTCTCAGGTGGGTTCTCTTGAGGAGTGCTGGTCTGAAGGCGGTGTGGGCAGAGTTTTTTGTTCAGTGCTTCGGGTTTTGTAGAAGATTTAGTAAACTTTCATTTTTGTTTATTTTGTTCATTTTGGCTGGATGTTTAGGGATGGTTTTGTAAGTCTTGTTGATTAAAGGTTGGTCCTTAAATAAAGATTTCTGCAGGATCTTCTCTGGTCATAGCAGTCCTGTCTTGGATGGTAACTGAGCTAGGGATGCCATTTCCAGAGAGCTCCCCTTCCTTCTGCCACTGGGGAAGCCTGTACGCAGCTCATAGCTCCTTGCTGCTACAGTTAGCAACTGGTTTTTATGACCACCTTTCTTGGCGCTAGCTCCAGGTCTCCTCTTAGCATATCTTGGTATTTAGAGTGAATTCTGTAAGCTAAAACTCCCAAAGAAGTCCGGGCAAAGGAGTGAGATGATTGTCATTCCCATGGGAACCTGCCTTGCAGTGTCAGACTGGCCAGTAGAGAGCCATGGGGATGAGAACAGTGTGAAACAGAGAGGAATGACAGCTCGGGTGGAGGTGATGGAACAGCAGTTACACGAGGCAGGCCCTTGGTGTGGCACAGCCTGAGGCACTTGGAGCACTGTGCACCACCTTTGTATGTGCTTTACCTCAGTCGGCACTCCCCAGTGGAGATGCCAAAAGAGAGTGTTAAGGAATGGTTAATAAAACCAAGTTGTTTGTCTGCAGTGCTGGGAATCGCTACCATGGGTCTCCCAAAGGAGATTGCTGAGCTAAGAGGCTGTGGGTTACATTCCACAGGTATCTACCAGCTTTGCTATCGGGCTGTGGCAGCCAACCTGTGATCTCAGGTATTACAGAGGGTTGCAGGAATCGGCTGAGGAACTACAGCTGGGCTAGACAGGTAAGTCTGGTACTATGAGAAGCGCTGGAATCAAGCCCTGGCATGAATGTGACAGGATGGAGAAGAGTTGTGCAGAGGTTTTGAGGGAGGAATGAATGTATCACCACTCCAGATTCAGTGGGGAAGTCACAGGGTGTGTAGCTTTTACTGCCATTGTGTGCTTAATACTTAAAAGTGTTTGTGAGGATCCTTCACACAGGCTTTTATGAACCCGAGTCCTCATGGTGTGAGATGGGAAATACCCTTCAGGTTTAATGACTAATTGTAAGTTAGGAACAACTACTTCCTCTCACAGTGGAGAACCATCTCTGTTCTGACTGTAGGGATTGTGTTTCCCAGCGTGTTTCTAATTTACCTGGAAAATGAGCCTATTTTACTGGTGATGCAATTATTTGAAGTAGTCAAAAATGGGGGCAGAGGGATAGAATGTTGAGTGCAGGGTAGTGTATGTTGTGGGCTGCTCACTGTAGGGGCTGCAACTGCTGCACTCAGAGTAAGTGTGTGCCAGGACACCCCTGTGGCTGCACAAGTGGCCTGTGCTGCAGGGTGCTGTGTCCCTGCCAGGAGCACAGAGACAAGAGCCTCTTGCTGCTGGGTTGGAGTTGACTAAGCAGTGCTGTGCCCTGCTCCCCTGCGGTGGCAATATGTCCTGGAGCTGTGGTTCTGCACAGGAACTGGAACATGGGCTCCTGTCCATGGAGGTGCTGATGGGAAGCAGACCCAGCCAATCCTCTGCTGATACGTGCTGTGTTTCTGTAGCATGAACCAGGATCCTAGCAAAGAGCTCAGGGGTGGGAATATTAAGGAAATATCCTTTACATGAATATTGATGTTTGGGCCTGGAGCCAGGTCATCCCTGGACTGCCAAGGGGCTGCTGTTAAAAGTGAGATGATGATAGCAGTGTGAACACAGTGTAAAGTGGGTCAACTGCTCACCTGCCTGCCCCAGCCTCCCAACGCTTCTAACTGTACAGGGCTGTTCCTCAGCCCCTTAAACACTTAAATAGTGTGGCATTACAGCAGGAGCCAGTCATGAACCAGTTAGAAAAGGCACCAAGCTGCTAGTCCAGTTCTTTGGAGCAGCAGTTCCTCACGGCGGGCTGAGTTTGGCAGCGTAGGGCAGGCAGCTTGCCTTCTGCAGCGGGGGGCCTGGTCTGCAGAGCAGCACACAGGAAACAGCTCCACTTGCTGCAGCCCCAGGTGTCGTGCTGTATGTACAACTTGTTACTGACCAAAAACCCTACTTTTGGGGAGGAGGAAACCCCGATACAAACCAAACCAGACGTTTCTCTAGGTTGTAATTATTTTTGTTTTTTAATGATGGCTGTTGGAAGTTGCTCAAAGGTTTGGGCTGTCACAGTCCCAGAAGAGATGGCAGCGTACAGATGAGTTGGATGTGCCATGTGGCTGTGGCATTCAGAGTGTGCATTCTACCACATACATAGTACACATAGCAACGACGGAGTAGCACGTGTGGGGGGTGTCTAATTAGTAGCTCCGATTTCATTTGGTCCTTTGCACTCCTTCACCCATCATGAGACATTATCACTTTTTTTTTTCCACTAAAATTCAAAGTTTTGCATCTATAGCTCCTCACTTAGTTTGTAATATGCTTGTAATATTAGTTTTTAATGTTTAAACACAATAAACAGCTTGGCTATGGAAATCAAGTTATGAAGGACAAAATACAGTTTGAAACCACGTTATGCAGTCCTAGTGGGCTTCACTAGAAGTGTCTATTTGTCTATCCTGCTTCACCAATAGCAACAGTTGAACACTAGGTGGAAATTCAGAATGCTAATGATTTTTCTGCTTCTTCATTCCTCATCACTGGAATTAGGAATGTTTTTAGCATGTTTGTCATTCCTGGGGTGTTTTTCACAGCTGCTATTCTAAAGCTGCACCTTTGCTACACTAACTGGACATTCTGTGCGTTGCACTTCTTGCACTGAATACATTCAGTTGTAGGCAGAGGGCTCATGCTCATCACCTTCCAGTGAGCGTGAAAAGCAGTTCCTGTCCTTAGAGGAACGGCACTTCTGTGCAGAGCTGGGCTTCCCCAGTACATCACACTGCAAGAAACTCTTCCTCCCCTCTTCTTTAACATGGTAGAAGTATCAGCATCAACAACAAAACAGACTAAGTTTGTGGCTAGGACACAACATCCTAAACCAGTCACAACTGTAAGAGGGATAAGCAGAAGCTACAGTTGTAGAAGAGACTTGTGAGAACTTACTAGCTGAAAGTTCAGGTATTTATCTAGCTCTTACCTGGGGTTTATGTCTCTGTCAAATGTGGCTAGTGCTGACCTCGTTCTACTGCAGGGCATGCTGCCTTTGGGCCTTGCCAAACACTTGCCTGTGAAGAAGTGAGCAAAAACCAGAAGTTCTGAAGGCATACAATGTTTGTGACATCTACAGGGGTTGGATTTAGTTTTATAAACAGGCCTAATTCTTACTGTATTTTGACTAGTTCAGCAAAACATAATGACCATCCCACTCCAAACAAACATTTCCATTCTCCTGAAACCCAACATACAAATTCCACAATCTAGTTACACATGCCACATAACAACAATTCATCTTTTCCCAGCATTGTAATACGGGCAGAGTGCAGGGTATGTCTATACATGTTTGTCAGTGTATCTGTAACCGTTGGTTCATTGTTTCTTGCTGATGGGAGCTTAAAACAACAGCATATGACATTTAAATATTTCTTTCATGAATGGCTCCCAAAACAAAACCATGAATTCCCATGATTTAAACCCAATTACTTCGTCTTCAGATTGTCCCAGTCTAGGGCTTGATGTTGCCAGGTGGCCGGTTTGGTGCTTCTTGAGCTTCTGCTCTGCACTCCTTTACCTCTTCGAGTGCGTAGTGGTTCCTCATGCACTGTGCTGAGTGGCAGCGTTGCTTAGTTATGAATGTACAAAACATCTGACCAGCAGGTATTGGAAAATCATATCCAGGTCATTCCCTGGATTTTGTAATAAACTAAGATCTTTTAGAATGGTTCAGCATCAGAATGTCTTCTGCTTACGATACTGAATTGTTCCTGTTCATAGAATTCATGATCTTCATTCATTTATGAGACAGCTATTAAAAAAATGGTTCTGTTCAGAGGTGGTTTAGCTACACTGGAGAATGCTGGGTTTAACAGGGAGCACTGGTGCAGGGAACTGAAGGAAGTTTCCCAGGTCAGTTGAAACCTGTCTTGAAGACTCTGATGTTAGCAGAGTGAGCCTGTGGAGGATGGCACACCAAGACTGACACGCGACTGAGGCCGTAAGAAGGAAAGAGGCTCCACGCTGCAAGGCTGCCTGTAGTTTTTCCAGTTTTCCTGCTTATTTCAGTCCCAGGCTGTCCAAAACTTGTTGTCACTGAAGTAGTTTTGTTTGTAGGCTTCTGAATGCATTTATTTCTTCTTTTTTTTCTTTTTTTTTTCTTTTTTTGTCCATAGTCCTCATCAGTTCCATGAGCTGAAACGTGCAGCAGGCTGTGTCATACCCATTCCTGGACAGGTCTTTTGTAATACACAACATTTTGCTGCACCTCTTTGTTTTTAAACTGGAAGATCGTGTATACCAAGACAAGGATACACAGAGACAAAATGCAAGGGATCACGACTGCGATTGCATTTACAGTGCTAGGCACATCGTTTATTGTCACCATAATGTCCACGTCATCGTGGGGGAGGCGTCTGTCTTTGCTTCGTTCAACATCCTTCTGGTTACAGCCCATCCAGTCTTTGAGGATTGACCTGGGGTAGCCTGGTTCCACAGTCAGCTGCTGGTTATCGAACTTCCAGTACTCCTTCCCTTTGTAGAAGTAGGTATAAACTAGGAGACAAAACAAAGAGGATTTCTCACCACACCAACTAACTTTGAAGTATGTTCTGCACTGAGTTATGTTTCACTAAAACATCTGTAAATATGAAATAAGACTGATTAAGGTGTGTCCTTTTGGCCACAGGATCCAGAAGATTTGCATTTCTTAAGGAGCAGTCTTGTGCTACTGCTGTTAAAAGGCTGATGGTTTATGCTACGTCTTGTCTGAAGTACCCAGATGTCTCCTTTTCTAATCCCTCTCAAGTGATTAGGAAAAGAAAAAGGCAAATGGGACAGTGGTCGAAGTGTTGGGTCTCTGCATCCATTCTCCAGCTCTGCTCTCACTGCACTCCTCCAGCCCAGCCCCACAGCCGTCATCTCTCACCACAGCCCCAAATTTAAACACAGACTCAATGGCACAAGCCCCTTCTGTAAGTTCTTTCCCCAGCTGGAAGAGGAGGAAGAAATCTTCAGAGAAAGAAAGGTGCTGGAAGGAGCCTCTGGAGGTCCAACCCCTGCTCAGAGAATGGCTGCAAAGTACATCAGGCAGGTTGGAGCCTGTGACAGTGACTGAGCTACAGGAAAGAAACTAGGAGGAAAATGCAAAATACAGCACCATTGTAATCATGGCCCAGGAAGACTCAGGCAGGGGCTGTTGTGGCTGCAAAACTGGAACAATTCCCCTTCCCAGCCCCAGAAATGGCATTAGGGTAACACAGTTTTGCAGTTCAGGAGGTACATGGGTTAGGGTGAGGGTCAGGAAGGCTCTCAGACTGCCAGTGCCTGCAGGCGCCAGCGTGACCCTAGAACATCTGAGACCTGATTCCTATTTCACACACCCCAAATCCAGCCACCCAGCTCCCAGGGTAGACAAGCTGTCCTGGATCTAACAGGGGTAATGACTGCAGATACATACAGCCTTCTTTGCTGATAAAAGCTCCCTGTGGAGCCTGAGGGATTCCTCTCCACACAGTGATGGGCTTTGGGTATCCTGGGTCCGTTGCTCTCTTGTCCTCGTTGTACCTCCAGTACCTGTCTCCTTTGAAGAAGTAGGTTTTGCCGACGGGCTCCCAGCGCAGGGCCGTGTCGATGCCCTCCCGGGGCAGGCAGCTCCCCAGCTCCACCAGACTGTGCGGGTAGCCCGGCTCTGCTGTCACTTCTTTAAAGACCCAGTATTTATCTCCTGGAGGTGAATGGGGACACAAACAACAAACAGATTTCCCTAATTAGTAGTTGAATGAGCTGAATGTAGCACAGCCACATGAACCACAGCGAGTGGAGGACTTCCAGGCTTAAGTGTATTATGTGAAAAACCTGCTCCTCCTCTTCATCTCGAACCTGAAACCTCCTGATTCCATTTGCTGCTTCTCAGCTCATCCTTGTTTAGGAAAGGATGTTAAACAACCCTTTCCCATTTACCTTCTCTAGAGCAGTCATCATTTCAGAGAGTTCCCTCAAACCCTGTCTTTGTCATTCCTCATAGAGGCTGAGGGGGTCCTTGCAGGATGTCAACCCACACTTTTTGATCATTTCTGTTGCCTTTCTCTGAGCCATCTCAAGTTTTAATGCAGTTTATTGAGCTGGGGGATTGAAGCTGCAGACATAAATGGGGAAGACAAGGTACTGTGGTTTCATACGGGGCATGCTGATGCTTTCCAGCCACTCCTCCGTGCTTACAACTTGCACTCAAGTTCAACAGAACCAGTTCAGACACTGTCACAATGCAAGGAGCTAATGTGAGCCCCAGCATAAGGTTGATCATTTTGTCTCTTTAGGAGACAATTGTCCAGAAATGTGGTTTGGGAATGCCCTATACCTGGAGAGGCCCTAACATCTTGCCAAAACATATTCAAGGAAATAGGCAGAAGACTCCTGCCTATCCTCCTGCCTACCACTCCCTGGGAAACAGGAGCTATTTCTTGCTATCATATGGAAGCCAACTTCCATTAATCAACATTAGCTTTATACAGAGATTGTCCTGGCAAGGCCAGCCCACGCTAAACCATATTTTAAGGATTAGTGGCTGCTTGAAGTGTCCTCATGGAGAAGGACAAGGATGCGCCGTACCTGTTTTCCCCATCTTCACGCCGTAAGGGTGTGATGTGAGGCAGATGAGGGAGGCTGGTACTGAAATGTACTGTACCTTTGAAGAACACGAATTTGCCATCAGAGCGCTCATAGGCTGCATCAATCTTTGCGGGGAGGCCCTTCCAGAACTGCTCGATCTGCATGGGATAACCCTCCTGCACCCGGTTGTTGCGCAGCCGCCAGAACCAGCGATCCTGAGAAAACCAGAAGCCTCTTCAGACTGAGTGTTTTTATCTTGCAGTCAAACCAGGCTGGGCGTCCAGCATCAAGCATTGCTAATCCCTGCCTAGGCCCCATAACCATTAAAGACAGAAGTCCTGGTTCAGGTGACAGCTCCAACCCAGCCCAACACTGTCTCCAGAGAGGGAAGCGCTCCATAGGGAAGATGGCAGCCAAAGGGGTGAGAAGCTGGTTGCTGGTGCTGTGAAAAAGGGTGGAAAGAAGGAGAGGACCAAGGAGCAGGGGGAAGCAAGTCCACAGTTACAAGTGTTATGAACTCATCTGTGAGTGACCTCTCTGCAGGTCTCGTCACTGAGGTGCCACATGTGTCCTGGTACCACTGGTGCTCAGCTATCAGACCCCAGGAGAGCCACACAGCCATAACACTACCCGGGACTGTGGGAAGCACCCAATGTCCAAAGGCACAAAGGAGTTATTAAATAACCCTTTGAGATCGTTAGTTAAAGCCATAATGGAAGCTCAGGGATGAGTAAGAGCAGTACAGGGCCTGTGAGGCTTCTCCCAGATACTGTCCCAGCCTTCAACTATTTTCAGTTCATGCTTTTTCTCCAACTCATGTGGTCTGTCCATTTAATGACCTTCAACATGCCCATTCACACCACTGGGCAGAGCAAAAGCCACAGATATTTCCATGTTCAAGGCACTCTAATGTGGGTTATTGAGCAAAACCTTTCCTTCCTCCCTGGCCTTAGATTACAAGCAAGGTTGACTCAAACTCCCCAGGTAAGCTGAGCGCTCCCTGAAGCCCCAGGTTCCACACAGGCCATCTCTGGAGGCAATGAGGCTTAATCTCTGGTTAGATACTGCTATTGCTTTCTGGCTTTACAGGTGGCTTCTCTCTGAGCTTGACAGTGTCCGAATTCTCTGCCAGTGCATCCAGTTCACATTTTGGTGCACAGGCTGCCTGGGCATTTTGGGAATCCCATCAGGCACTGTTTCCAAATGTTACAGAGCCAATCTGTTTACATGTCCTTTTAATATTGCTCTTTCAGCAGCCTCAGAGGAACAGAGCCATTTTCACAGGCATTTCAAATCTTACTACGTTATATTTCTATTAATATTTTCCAGCAATAAATCTAAAGACAGACTCGAGGGCAAGCAGGAATTCTTAGTACCTTGAAAACAAACATTTCTCCTCTAAAGAGAGCCACGGTGTTAAAGTTGCCATCACAGATGTTTGGTTTCGAGCCAGGAGGAGATGGCCTATCACCCAGAGGAGGACTAGGAGGTCTTGGCTGTCTCTCGTGTTTCCTTTCCGAAGTGGAGTGAATTCTGCGAACAGGAAGAGTTGGTAAAGGCCTGGTTGGCTCCAGGGGCTCAACAGGAGGACCTAGAAATGAAAAGAAAAACGTTTAGCAAAGTGGAAACATCTGGATTTTCTGTGCTCCCCTTGTAGATTTTAAAAGGCAACAGGATGGATGAAGAGCATTGTGAGGAATTTACACACTCCTTATGCAGAGCTCATTCCCTAGAAATGGGGAGCAGAACAAGATGCATCCACACGTGAAATATGTCCCAAAACAGACGAGCAATAAGAACTGAAGAAGAGCCAGTATGTTTCTGTAGGTCTTCCCAAGGAGGCTGGTGCTAAAAGGAAGGAGCAGCCACACCAACCATGTTCCCAACTGAGAGGTAATAAATAACCATTGAATAGAAACCTTTAGTAGACCATTAAAAAAAACCCCAACGACCAAAACACACACAAAAAACCCCAAACAACCAAAAACCTCCCCAAAACAAAAACCAAAGCAAAATCAGAAAAAAGGTAGGGTGCGAAACCAATGCCACCATCTAAGGGGGACTACACGGGAATTCAGAAATAAGAAAGCAACTCCTTGACCACATTTTGGTCACTAATCTTTGCTTTCAGACCACCACAGGAACTGATGAACAGCTGTGATATAGGACCATGCTCTGACTCACATGTTGCCCTTCGATCCTTACCCAGCTCAGCTTTGAGATCTGACAAGTATAAAAACACAAGTGACTTGGAGCAGAGCTCTGCTTTGAAACCCACTCAGTCACAGGATGATTTCATCAAGTTAGTGATAAAATCTGGACCGAATCTCATTAAGAGTGTCACAGGTTTCTTGTTGCTTCTCAGAGAAGGCCACAAGTTAATATGGCACTAAGCAGAAGGCTACTGGAAGCGAGGGATTTTACCAAGTTTTATGCCTGATGTAATCAAACGTGATTTGATCATTTGCATGGATTATTGTTTCAATACTGTGTAGCTCTCATCCCCCTCCATTCTTAGCTGTTCAGTGCCCAGTATCTTAGCAGACCACAAAGTTCTAAATAAAATGCCTAAATTGTGATATTGCTCCTGCTGGTGATCTCTGAACCTTCCCCAAATGGTGTCCACCAAAGGTCTGCAGACACTGCCTGTCACAGGAGCAGCAGGGTCGGACCCCTTGTTAGCCAGGCAGTATGGGTGCACCTGCACTGGTGTTTCAGTTCAGCTCAGCAGAGTGCTTTTAAAGAGATGCTCCATCATTTGCAATTGCTGTGCTTTGATTCACACTGGAGTTCATGAAATGCATTCTTTTTGGACAAAGCTAAACTTGAAGATGCACTTTTGGAGCACATCTAGGATACTGCAACTGCAAACAGACATCACAGGCCACAGCCAGAGCTAATTCTCAGTAACCACCCCCTTCCCTGAAATTCATAGAGTGGGGGTCAAGTCCTCAGCATTCTTTTTACTTAACACCATCCCTAAATGCTGTTATACCTACAGATGTACTAGTATTATTCTTGCTAGCAGCCACAGACATTGCTTGCTAATACAGCAACAGGCAACTTACTGTGGTGAGAAGCACATGGGCTGTGCCAAGGCATCTCCTCCAGCAAGCAGCAGGCTAGCTGGCAGTACTGATTAAGGTTGGAAAGCTCTGTGGAGGTAGGATTGAGTTGGTACAGCGGGATATGCTGCGGAGGAAAGGATGGGAATGGGGAAAGAGGTCCCAGACAGATCTTCTGCAAAGAAAGACGGGGTTCTGGTTTGCTCAGATGGGATGTGGGAGCAGTGTCCAGCTCCTGCTTTAATGAATTAAAGGAGTAAGAAACTGGTAACCTGCTCTGGCTGCCGAAAACGGCACTTGGTGCCAGTTACAGTTCTTGAATAAATGAAATTTGAAAAGCAGCATGCTTTTCATTAACATAGAACCATAGAATAGTTAGGGTTGGAAAGGACCTTAAGATCATCTAGTTCCAACCCCCCTGCCATGAGCCAGGACATCACACACTAAACATGCTTGAAGATAGGAATTAAGGAAAGGTAAGTCTGGACTGGGACCTAAGCAAGGAAGCAATAAGCAATGTCTTACTGCACGCTACAGGTCTCATTAAACAGCAGCATGATCCTTTCGTGCTGCCAATCACACGGCTTTGAGTGGATGTGTTTGTAAGTAACACTGAAAAAACTCTCGTGTATGTCCTACGTGACAGGATTCCCCTGCCAACAGACTGACACAAGGATCACCTTTCTAAACGAAACTACAGCATGTTGCTACAGAAGCTCAAAAGCAGTGCTGTTCATTCCCTCCCCGTTGCAAGAGGCTAACGAACGCCATGCACTGACCAACTCAGAGATGCACTTCTGTTGCCGTACATGGATCAGAAAAGCCTCTTTGGTGGTCAGTTTAATCGACAGTGGAGCAATTCCATCAGACAGCTCTTCGGTAGTTTGCAGAAGACAGCCACCAGTGCCAGCACAGGAGAGAGCGCTGCATTGCGAGAGGCAGCCAGAAGCGAATTCACACCACGATTGCAAGGAGGATTCCAAGGAGCATTATTGCCTTTAAACAGAGTGAGAAGTACAGCGATATGCAATGCAGAGAGGCACAGCTGCTGTTAGAGGGGATCATCTGGGAGGGACCCAAAAAGTCACTGTGTGTCACAGATTCAAACTGGTTGCTGGAAAGGCAGAGCGCAAAAGGGACTGACTGCCAATTCGGGGCAGTTCTGCTTCTCTGACACAGCAAACAGAGATACTCAAATCAACAGCAGCTCTGGATTTCCAGAAATAACAACCCATAAACTCCTCACTTCCAGATGAGAGCAGGAAGAGTTTTATAGACCTGATCATGAGCAGTAAAACAAGGACATGACACTGATTTTTTTAAAGGAAAAAAGGGCGAGACAGGGTAGTATCTAAAGAAAATGACAATGAATGTATCTGATGAGTCACAAAGACACACAGAATCTGATAGTTGTAGAACAGGGATTATAGTATTGTGGTCATAAGCTACAAATTTCACATCATGCCTGATTTGAGTTATGAAAGATTCATTCTCTCTTCACAAGTGAAGAGCACTCGTATCCCAGGTCACAGCCTGCCCTGCCCTTGCTGCAGGACAGCAGTCAGCTCAACTCTCTCGTCCAACTTAAGAGTTCAAAGTCTGTCACAGTCTTCCCAGAGAAGAGGAAAGTTAAAATAGCACCTACAACCTAAGGGACTGATGTGAAAGTTTTAATTAGCCCCAAGATGCCACTGGAACAGAATGCAGGAAAGTTGCAAGGCAGAAGCACTTGCACACACTGCGGTCAGGATGGTGCAGTTCAGCAACGCTTCAGGGGAAGCCGAGATTGGTATCAAATGAAACGTTTGCTAGAACAATGGAAAGAGGTTACAAGTCAGGACCAACAACAGAAACTGGGCCACCCTGTGTGCTCAGTGCTTCCAATGGCCAAACTAGTGCTGGTGTGTTGTTCTGAAGGAGGTTCCCAGTACTGACAGGGCTTTCCACACACTCTGCAGCTCGTACTGCAACTTGCTCGGATGCTGACTTTGTCATTTCATTCAAAATATTCCTCTTACTGTCTTTCCCTGCAAGCCATGGATATTCCCTGCTATCTTTCACTTCTCTTCTTGGTTTTATGCATTCTGGGCCTTCTAATATCTCCTGATTGAGGTCTTATCTCCTCTTGTGGTTATACAGATTGCATTTTTATTTTTAATTGCTGCCTTCACTTTGTTACAGAGTGAGGGTGGACTTACAGATAAATGGGGAAGGTAATCCTACAGTTACACACATGCAAAGAGCAGAGGAGCACATATAAACCATGAAAATCCCCGGGTCCAAGTGCTAGGCAGGCAGAATTTGGTCTACAGTCAGGGGTATGGAAAGCAGAAGCACAGCCTGTCCATTGCTGAAGAAAGATGCTATGCTGTAAGACCTAAACCACTTCAGAGCACAACCTGGCATGAAAGCAGAACGAACAGACCCTGTACAGCTTGGCACTCATTACTATTTCCAGACTCGCACCACAGTAACCTGCCTCCAAAACAGATGGCTAAAGGCAGGATATAACAGATTCATAAGCAGCAGAGATGACCATTTGAACAAAGAGTTACTTGAGAGATGATAGCACCTTGGTATTTATTACAGGAACTGAGTACACCCACCACTGACTTAACCAAACAAGCAAATCCACACAAATCACAGCCTCTGTCACTGTGTTTCCAAGCAACTTCAAAGAACCAGCCAGGGCAAATCTCACCAAGACAAAAATTAAGTGAGAGAGGCTATTGCACGGATTTGCAACTCGGCCTGCACCCAGTCACCTTGTTACTGCATGTCACCCCAGCACCGGAGCCAAACCCACCCCCAGGGCTAAGCCTGAAGCCACTTCCACACGGGAAGCAGGTAAGAAACCTCACAGAGCTGGAAACTCTACATGCTGGAGGGAAGAAGCTTGCTGGGACTTTAAGACACTGTGTGAAGAAGAAGACTTTCTTCCTCTCTATCACAATCAAGGCAAAGAATGTCAGAAAGCTTTTGGGTCACAGCAGATCACCTTCAGAGTGTGACTTCCGCCACTGGCACTTAGCCTCCTCCCTTCATGCTTCCTCGGTCGCAGACCATCTGAATACCAAGGTGACCTGTGAAGATAACACAGAGAGAGGAGGCATTTAGGAGACACTGTGTCGATAGTTGAGGACAAAATATAATTGTGCTGTCCTCCTGCCTATTGACAGAGTGTTCCCTCAACTGCACAACACCTGCCTGGAGGCTCGGCACCTTGCATGGCTCAGCATCCACCAAAGCCAGCCCTGCCTGAGCCATGTGGCTCTCCAAGCCTGCCAGTGCAGGGGATGCCCTTTGTTTCAGACCAGGAGGGATAACATTCCACCTGCAAACAAAGGCCCATCTTTATCTTCTTGATATTTACTCCAAGAATAAAGCTATCATCCAGACTACAGGCAGGCACTTAGGCTTTTAAGTAACACGGAGGGGTTTTTTTGGTTGTCAAAAGCTGAGCTGCCTGCATGTTTCTGCAGGATGGTACCAGCTGTCCAGGTACACAGGAAAGGCTCCTCAGTTT